CTCTCTTCAGTCCCCAAATTATTTTTATTTATTTTTATTGAATCCTAGTGAGTTACAAAGTTGTTCATGATTGAGTTTCAGGCATGCAATGTTCCAATACCAATCCTTTCACCAGTGTCCACTTCCCTCCACCAATGTCCCCAGTTTCCTACTGCATCCCTCAGCCTGCCCTATGACAGGCACTTTCTTCTTTTTCCGTTTAGGCACTGTGGTTTAGAATGTTATTGATAGGGTATCACGCATATCACTTTACCTCCTTTTTATCACCCAGTCCTTATCCAGAATCAAAACATTTTTTTCTTTTAAAGTTTTTTGGTTCTTCAGGTGTTCAGGTCTGACCTTGTCTGGGCTGGGTGCTGTTTGTTTCTTTACCGACGAAATGGCGTGTCGGGTTTCGGAAGGGAGAACGTTGGGAACGACATATCCATCCTGTGGAATTTGGTATGTCGGCAAGTGGACATGGCTATCGAAGAGATTTGAGTAGAAGTCATGAATAATCTTCTCCATTGCCGTTCTGGAGGATGTGATGGATCCATCAGGACGTCGGAGGGCAGTCATCTTGGTCTTGTAGTTGGCGAAGGACAGGCGGGCGTTACGAATACTTTTCCCAGCTTCTGCCGCATCTACCAGTACTTCTGCTCTTCTCTCTTTGAGGTCTTCCTTGATCGCATCTCTGCACTGCTTTGCGAGCTCGGACGTTAGCTTGCGGTTGCCTGAGGCATGCGCCAAACCACGCTGGCGAATTAGCTCAAGAGTTTTCGAAGATAGGCGATTTTTTGTGGCTATCTCTCTCTTGGCGTTCCTCGCACATTCATGGAGGTGCTGAACCAGTCGATCGTATTCCTCATCAATGTTGTCAACAATGGCATCTTCCCATGTTGCCGCAATAGTAGCAAAGAGTTCCCAGTTGGTGGTCATTCTGGGAGTTCTCTTTTTGAACTTTGCAGCCCTTTCTCCCCGCTCTGTGAAGTAGAATTTTGCATGAAGGAGACGGTGGTCCGATCCCGTTCGAAATTTTGGGACAACAGCAACATCAGTCAGGCAAAACCGTCGATTGAATATGATATGGTCTATTTTGTTGTGGAATCGTCCACCGGGAGACTCCCATGTCCATCGTTTAGATTCTGCCTTCTGGAACTGTGAGTTACCGTGAATGGTCTTGGTCGACATGATGAACTCAGACAGTCTCTCACCCTGTTCGTTCCATTCTAGGCCATGGGTCCCGATGTGAGGTTCTTCAGCTGATCTTCTCGGTCCTATCTTGGCATTAAAATCACCCACAATGATCTTGTAGAAGGTGTGGTCTTCTTTATAGAACTTCTCTAGCTCCATGTAGAACTTCTCGATTTCTCTTTCATCATAATGAGATGTTGGTGCGTAGACAACGAAGATAGAAACTGCAGGCAGTGAGTCACATCTATTCAAATGTAAACGTCTGATTCGGGTTGTTAGGCATTCGAATGAATAAATGCTCTTGGCCAAGTTTGTGTTGACAAGGACATCGACGCCTCCAACACCTCTTTTATTGCATGTTCCGAGGAACAATTCTTCTCCAGTGTCGAAAACGGCATGGTGAGATTCGTGCCTTCTTGTCTCGGTCAGACCAATGATGTCGTACTTGAACACCTGAAGAACCTGTCGTCAGTACTCATCAATACACTGGCTCGGCTCTTCACTCGCTACCTGTCTGAATGCAATGTTCCGTCCCAGTGGAAAACCAGCAGGACCGTACTACTGTTCAAGAAGGGAGACATCCATGACATTGGCAACTATCGCCCGATCTGCCTATTGTCTGTCATCTACAAGTTGTTCACTCGAGTCATCCTAAATAGGATTGGCAGAACACTAGATGAAGGACAACCATGCGAGCAAGCCAGGTTCCGCAAAGGATTCAGCACCATTGACCATATCCACACAATAACCAAGCTCATTGAGGTTTCTCAGGAGTTCAAGATGCCGCTCTGTTTAACGTTCATTGATTTAAAGAAGGCCTTTGATTCTGTTGAGACGGAAGCGGTCATTGAAGCCCTAGCCAATCAGGGCATTCAAGCCCAATACATCAGGATCCTCCGTGAGCTGTATTGAGGATTCACTACCAGGATCTCACCATTCTACAAAGAAGTGATCGTTGATGTCAAGAGAGGGGTGCGGCAGGGTGATACCATTTCACCAAAACTCTTCAGTGCCACCCTCGAGAACATCATGCGATGACTGGAATGGGAAGGAATGGGAGTGAAGATAGATGGTCGGCAACTACACCACCTCCGCTTTGCTGATGACATTGTTTTAATAACACCAAACATCAGCCAAGCGGCACAAATGCTGGCCGACTTTGACCGTGAGTGTGGAAAGGTAGGACTACAGCTGAATCTTACGAAGACAATGTTTATGAGAAACAGCCTTGTTCCTGACGCCCCATTCGCTCTCAACAGAACGACCATCTCCGAATGCAACAGCTATGTGTACCTAGGTCGAGAGGTCAACATGACAAATGACCTGGCACCCGAGCTGCGCAGGAGGAAGAGAGCGGCTTGGAACGCCTTCAAGAACGTCGAAGAAATAGCTAAGAGGACGAAGAACCTCCGGCTCTGGGCACATCTCTTTGATTCCACTGTTCTTCTTGCATTAACATATGCCTCAGAGACCTGGGCCCTACGCAAACAAGATGAGAACGCTATTCAGGTCTCCCAAAGAAGAATAGAAAGAGCTATGTTTGGAATATCACGTTTCACTCAAATGAGAGAGAGAATCCGGAGTTCTGACATCCGTCGACGATCAAGAATCAGGGACGCTGTCTCATATGCCAAGGTGTCGAAAATCAGATGGGCTGGTCACGTAATGAGATTTAAAGACGACCGCTGGACTAGAGCTGTTACCGACTGGATTCCACGGGATGTCAAAAGACCACGTGGCTGCCCACCTTCCAGATGGTCAGACTTCTTCGTCAAGATCATGAACGATCGGTTTGAGGCCCTTCATGTTCCCGGAGCGAACAGATGCCATTGGGCTACACTAGCACGCGACAGGGACAAATGGAGACGTTACTGGCGCCCGCTCGAGCAAATCGATGACTAACGGGAAGTTAAGTGATTAAGTGTAAGTGAAAGTTTTTTGGCATCACTGTCATTGCTCAGGTGTTCCTCCGGGGTCTGCACTCAGGAATCACTCTTGGCGATGCTCAGAGGACTATATGGAATGCCACGGATAGAACACTTGGGGGTAACATGCAATGCAAAAGCCCTACTTGCTGTAGTATCCCTGATTCCGAGAGCCAAACTATTTTTAAAAAAGCTCATTTTTTTTCCTTTCTGAGCTAGTTGCCTCTCAGTTAGAGGATATATATAGATACATATCTATATATATCTTGTGGATATATATATATACATATATTTTAAGTTCTAGGATGTGTATATCTCATGCATAACATATATACATATACATGATTCCACTCGTTGAAGTCCCAAGACATTTAATTACTAAATGTAAAGTTAGATACATAATTACATAAACACTTAAATTCTTTTTTTTTCCCCTTTATTTTATTTTATTTTTTTTAAAGTTGTAGATTTACAATTTTTTGTGCTTTGGTTTCAATTATACAATGATCAGATACCCATCCCTCCACCAGTGCCCATTTTCCACCACCATGGATAATATCCCTCCCACCCCCATCCCCCCATCCCCCCTGTCTCTGTGGCAGGGCAATCCCCTGTGTTCTCTCTCTCCTTTTGGGAAACACTTAAATTCTTTTCTTTTTGGATCACACCCGGTGATGCTCAGGGGTTACTCCTGGCTTTGCATTCAGGAATCACTCCTGGTCATGCTCAGGGGACCATATGGGATGCTGGGAATGGACCCCGGGTCGGCTGCGTGCAAGGCAAACGCCCTACCCACTGTGCTATTGCTCCATCCCCAACACTTAAATTTTCTTAATGCTCTCAACAAACATATTCACTATCAAGCAAGGCGTGAGATTCATAGCACTCATAAAATCCTACTGGAAGATAACTGCAGCACTGTAGCACTGTCCCCCCCATTGTCCATCCATTTGCTGGAGCGGGCCCAGTAACGTCTCCATTGTGAGATTTTGTTGTTACTGTGTTTGGCATATCGAATACGCCACGGGTAGCTTGCCAGGCTCTGCCAGGCAGGCGGGAGACTCTTGGTAGCTTGCCGGGCTCTCGGAGAGGGGCGGAGGAATCCAACCCGGCTCGGTCGGGCTGGCTGCGGGCAAGGCAAACGCCCTACCCGCTGTGCTATCTCTCCAGCCCCCGGAAGATAAAAATGCACAATACTTTTAGCGAGTGGAAACGTCGTTGAAAGCAACCAATCTCGGGGCTAGAGAAATGTTTACGCTCGCAGCCACCCCGGGTTCGATCCCGGGTACCACGTGTGATTGCCCGCGCTCCGCCAAGAATGAGACCTGAGCGGCCAGGCGTGGTCCCAGACAAACCCAAACCAAACCAGTCGATCTTTCAGGAGAACGACAAGGGCGATCAGAACACTTTAGGTCTTGTTTGGTGGTCTCGCAGATGAAGATCCCAGGTGAGTCTTTGTTTTGTCTCAGGGCCACACCATGCTCTCATGAACGGGGTCCCTGGGGCAGACTCTTGCAGGGTTACGGCGACTGAAACACGGGACAGTGGGTCCCAGTCACGGCGGTGGCTTTAGCTCGAAAGGTACACATAGGTCTGAGGGGCCTAAGAACGAAGACCACCGCGCCCGACTCCCCACGCCGCCCCGCCGCCCCGCCCCGCCGCGCCCCGCCTCCTCCCCGCCTCCGGCCCCGCCCCCTCCTCCCGCCCCACCCATCCCTGCCCGCCGGCCCTGCCGCCGCCGCCAGCCTCCCCGGCCCCTCCCCCAGACACGCCCCCACCGTTGTGCCCCCCCCCCCCCCCGTCGGCCCCGCCCGCCCCGCCCGCCGGCCCCGCTCCATCCCGCCCCGCCCCGCCCCGCCCGCCGGCCCCGCTCAGTGCGGCGCATGCGCCGAGCCCCGCCCCGTGCGTCACAGAATGGACACGGACATCCCGGCAGTCCCTGACGTGTCGGGGAGGAGCCGGCGCCGCGGTGCGGGGAGCAGAGCCCGAGACTGCGGAGGTCCGCGGAGCTGAGCTGCCGGGCGGCCCTGGCCCGGGTAGCGGAGCCGAGGCGGCGGTGGAGCAGCGGCGAACATGCGCTTTTGACACTCTGGAGGTGAGCGTGCGGTGCGGGGCTCCCCGGGGCGGGCCGGGCCGTCTGCGCCGAGGCCTGCCCGTGGGGAACCTGCCGAGCCCGGGGGTGACGTCGGAGGCGCCGCAGGCCGGGCCGGTCGCTGTGCTCCGGCGGCCAGTCCAGGTGCATCAGTTCCAACCGCTCTAACTGACTTTCTCGCCCCTGCTCTCAGATGCGGCCCGGCAGTGGCGCTGGGCAGGGGCTGGCCGGGGCCGGGGGGCGCTCGCGCCGGGGCGGGGAGGGGCGGCCTTCCCGGGGGCCGGGCCCGTCGTGCCGCCCCAGGGGTGCACCCGGAGGCGGGCCGCGGTGTGCCTGGCCCTGCCCTCACCTCCAGGCCGCGTAGCTGAAGGCTTCTTCAAACCGGGGTGGACTTGAGCTTGCGTGGCTTCCTTCCCGGTGGGGCGAGAGCGGAAGCAACCGACGTGGGGCTTTTTGGGCCTTTCTGTGACATTGCTGAGAATTCACCCGAAGTGTCACCGAACAGGTTCTGAGTGCTTGCACTTGTCTTCTTTTCTTCCTGGTAAGCAGTGCAGAACCCTTCAAAATTTGCCCCCCCGCCCCCCGAGGCGACAGTTCTTTCATTGTTCTTGCCTGCCGTTTCTTGAAGTGCCTTTGCATATTTCAAAGCACTCTTGCTCTCTTTGGAGCCTGATCGCCTTGTGTTTGTCCTGGATTCTGTCTTCGCCGTTCCACCCGATGTGTAAATTGGGTCCAGGTAGGGTTGCAGGTCTTAAGTGGTTTAGCCAGTGGTTTCACTTGGATCCTCTGCCTTGAATTTATGCCTCGAGGCTCAGAGTTCTGCTTTCTTTTTGTGGGATTTTTCGCATGGCTCGAAAACAAAACAAAAATTTTGACTTGTCAGAAAATATCAGAAGCTGGTTTTCTGGGTAGCCCGTGTTGTCTCTTGCACATGTTGTTTCTTTCTCCTCTAAGCAATCTTGCAACATGCACACCTGAAATCTAATTTATAGGAGACACATAGGATGAAATCTACTCAGTTGTAAGAAAACTACTTCGAAACTTGTTTATGGGTCCCTGGCTAATTATTTTGTTTGATAAGTTCCACTGCTTCTAATCCACTTGTGAAATTGCTAAATCATGAAGTTGGTGGGGTAAATGTCATGAGTTGAGACAATGAAGATTTTGTTAAATTAAAATTTTAAGATTTTTAAAATAAATTTAAAATCAAAGTGCATAGAAGCAATAAAGGTTTGGTTAGTCTTTGTTAGAAGTTGGCCTGCCTTATGAAGTGGTAGTTTGACAGAAACAAAAACATTTTTTTTCCCCTCCACCATACCCATCTACTCAGGAATCTCTCCTGGTGGTAGGAGAGATTCCTGGTTTAGGGATATGTGGTACCTGGGTGTACCTGGGCAGGCCGTAAGCAAGTCTTTGACATTTAGTTAAAAATTTTGTCCTCCTAAGTGGTGTGCAAGAGGTGGGGTGGGGCACCTGCAGTTCTCATTAGCTGGTCTGGAGGTTAAGTGCCAGGGGCCCTGGATGCAGTGCCACTCTAGCTTTGCAGTGCCAGGGTTACTCAGCTGACTCTAGCAGTGCTGGGGGCTTCTGGGGCTACACCTGGCAATGGCTCTGGGCACCATGTGGTGCTGGAATCAAACCTGGGTTGGGCTTATGGGTCAGGTGAATGCTGAGCATGCATCCTAACCACATCCTAATACTATCTCCTTGTCGCCTGTGTATGTGTGTGTGTGTGTGTGTGTGTGTGTGTGTGTGTGTTTTAAGAATTTTGTGAGTGAATCTGGGGAGGGGGCCTCCCAAGCAGGTATTTGGGTCCCCAGGGGCACTCCTTCCTATCCTCAGCTAAACCATTGGTGGCTCAGTGCTAAGCCTGAGGATTTGGTAGTGCTCTGGCCTGCTTTGCGGAGAACCACCAGGGCCACTTCTGCAGGGCCTTTTTCGTGGTGATGCCGAGGAAGCCATGTTGTGTTGGGAGAACCCCTGTAAGATCTTCCAGGCCCCTTTCTAAATTAAAAAACTTAAAATTTCTTTCTTTCTCTCTCTTCCCATTGTTGATGATGTTGCTGTGGATTAGGGTTGCCCTTCAGGTTGTGTAGTGCATACACTTGCCAGGTGTTCAGCTGTACTTCTTCAGTTACCTTGCTTGCACACGTGTATGCCAGCAGTGGTGCTTTTGTTGAGGTACTCAAGTTATAGTTGTGGTGCTTGCTGGGGGCGGGGGAGGGGTTGCTGCTTTATCATACTCGCTTGCCAGAAGTTGATCTTACTAGCCGGGGTGCTCACTCTTGTTTGTAGCTGTGCTTACACCTCTTTTTTTTTGTGTGTGTGTGTGTGTGTGTGTGTGTGTGTTGCTTACACATGCCTTGCTGTGGTGCAATGGGAAATCACTTGCAGTGCCAGGAAAGAAATACTAGGCTGAAGAGCAGAGATACTAGCAGATGGAAGAGGTATTAGGCTGAAAGAGCAGAGCTACCAGGAAGGAATTTGAAGCCATGATTATGCTCTTACTATTCCTCTCTAGGCTTGTATTGACTTTCTTAAGTAAATTGAAGTTGGGCAAGGAACACATAATAAGTAGAAACCAATGAACTTAGAAATTGCTTTAATGACATCTAAGAAAACTTACTTTCATTCTTATTTTAAGCCATACTAAGAAATTTGGTGAATAATGTTTAAAATTACATCTGGCATGAGTTTCTGAGCACCTCATAAAGGAGAAGAAAAATTTTGAAAAGATAAAAATTTCTGTAAATTATAAGAATAATTTTGGCAAAAAGACAAGTAATGCCTACACTAAATTAGAGAGCTCTCCCAGTTTCATTAGTGTATTGACAGACAATAACATATAAAATGGGTTATTTTTATTTTTTTGTCGTTGAGCCGTCCCCTGATCCTAAGTTTTTTTTTGAGAGTTGTATTCAAATTTGATTCATTACTTTTATTTTTTATTTTAGGCATTGTGTTTACATTATTGTTAATATTATGCAAACATTATTCTAAAAACAAATTCTGCACTATTGTGTCCACTACCCTCCACTATTGTCCCTATCCTATCCCTCACTCCCATCTGGATTTTCCTTCTTTTTCTTTTTTGTTTTTGGGGCCACAGTTGGCAGTCCTTTGGGCTTATTCCTGGTTCTGTGCTCAAGGATCGCTCTTAAGTGGTGTTTGGGGAACCGTGTGCAGTGTTGAGGATCACATCTTGATCAGCCATGTGCAAGGCAAGCACAGTAACCCTATACTATATTTCCAGCTTTGGACTTTTGTTTGTTTTGTTTTTGGGCCATACCTATTGCTCAGGAGTTACTCCTGATGGTGCTCGGGGACCATATGGGATGCTGGGGATCGAACCCGGGCTGGCTGAGTGAAGGTAAGTGCCGTGCCTGCTGTACTGTTGCTCCAGCCCCTTTGGATTTTCTTTTTAAGAAAATTAAAGAGGATTGTTTTAGGCCAGAGAGATAGTTCAGAGTGCTGGAGAACATACCTTACTCATGTGGTAGGTCTCTCTCGCACCACTTTACCAGGTGGTCCTTGGTGGCTCCTGATGAGGTGGGCTCAAGTTGCACTGCTTCACTGGCCTGAGCACTGAGACATCAGGACTGTCAGTGAGGCCTGCTATTGCTGGGGGTGGCCCCCAGAGCCCAGATCCTCCCCCTGGAATTATTGAATTGTAATTTATATTAAAATTGGCATTAGTAGGGCCAGAGTGATAGTACAGCAGGTGCGGTGCATGCCTTGCATGTTGCTGACTTGGGTTCAATCCCTGGCACTCAGTATAGTCCCCCAAGCCCCACGAGGAGTGATCCCTGAGCAGAGAGCCAGGAGTAAGCCCTGAGTACAGCTGGGTATGACCCAAAAATAAACACAAAAAAAGTTAAAAAAAAATTGGCATTAGTGTGAGGCATATACTTCAGTTATTTGAAACTGAATAATTTAGATAACAAAAGATAACAAAAATGGATTCTCTTTTTACGAATGGAGTTTCTTTGTGAATAAAACATTTTGGACAAGGGCTGCCTCCTTGTCCCCCTTAAATTTTTTGTTTTTGGGCACTCAGGGCTTTCTTTTGGTAGAGTGTGGGGGACTGACCATATGTGTGGTTCAGGGGATAGAACCCATTAAGATATGTTCCCAACCCACTGAACTATCTCTCGCCCCTCAGAACCCTCCCTGTTTTCAAAAAAACCCAAAACAACCCAAGTGAGGGGCTGAATTGATAGTGCAATGGGGAAGGTGCTTGCCTTGTACATGGCAACTGAGTTGAATCCATAGCATCCTATATGGTCCCCTGAGTATTTTCCAGGAGTAATTTCTGAGTGCAGAACCATGGGTAACCCCTGAGCATTGCTGGGTGTGTTCCCCTTCCTCCCCCAAAACCAAACAAGTGAGTTGCTACACCTTCATATACAGGTCATACATAGACTGATAATGCCTTATTTTAAGTAAAAGTTGTCATACTTTTATGATTCATACTCTACTGTTGTATAGATGTAGTATTGAGGAAAAATTTAGGTAGGGTAAGAGTATGTAATTATCTGTCTTTAGCTTCATATTTATAGATGTATCATTAAAGTATTGTTTTAGCAGTGTAGGTTTCTATACTGCTAACTCTGTAGTCTTACTCTCTCCAGTTATATAGTTTCAAATAACAGTCAGCATGTTCTCTCACTGTAACTTGAAACAAACTGAGAACTGTCTTTTACAGCCCTTGCAAATATCTTTTGAATATCTGTAGTGGTAGTAAATTTTTGTCATTTGTAAAGAATCTCACATTTGAAAGGTAAGTCTGATCAATAAAATTAGAGTGACAAAGCTAGATAATACCAGTTAAGAAGAAGTAAAAATGATGTTTGAGCACAAGTAATTTTCTGATTAGCTCTTAATCTGGCATTGCAACATAGATCTAAAAGAGGATTTGAAGTGTTAGGGTAGTGTGGTATCACTAGAATACTAGAACTGATTTAAAGAAATAAAATATGTCCAGAGTGTTTTCCAGAAAGACT